CGAGAGCGAGAGCGAGAGCGAGAGAATCCCAAGCAGACTCCGTGTTCAACACAGAGCCTGAAGTGGGGCTTAATCCCATGACCCTGGGATCATGACCTGAGCTAAAATCAAGAGTCAGACACTCAATCGACTGAGCCACCCAGGTGTCCCCATTTAATGTTTAAGAAACACAGCATCCTCTCCTCACCTTAAAACCCAGGCAAAAGAAAAAAAATGTTTATCTAAAGAGACACAGTCATGAACAAGATTTCTAATAGACATCAAAACAAAGGTAACAAAAGCAAAAATAAACAAGTGGAACTATATCAAATTGAAAAGCTTCTGCACAGCAAAGAAAACAAGCAACAAAATGAAAACATAACCTACAGAGGAAAATATTTGCAAATCATGTAAGAGTTTAATATCCAAAATATATAAAGAATTCATATATCTTAATATAGCAGACACTACAATCTGATTTAAAATTGTGTCTAAGAAAATACACCGTGGCCAGGAGGTACACAAAAAGGTGCTCAACATCACTCATCCTCAGGGAAATGTAGTAAATCAAAAGCGCAATGAGACATCACCTCACACCTGGCAGAACAGCTATTAGCAAAGAGAAAAGAAACGAGAAGTATTGGCAAGGATATGGAGAATATGGAATCCTTAATTCACAGTTGATGGGACTGGACACTGGTGCAGGCACTAGAGAAAAACAATATAGAGGTTCCTCAAAAAATTAAAAATAGAACTACCACAGGATCCAGCAATCCCAATTGCGTGTGTGTCTGTGTGTCTGTGTGTGTGTATACACAAAGGAAATGAAAACAGGATACTGAAAAGACATCTGTACTTCTATGTCCATTGCAGCATTATTTACAACAGCCAAGATCCGAAAATACCCTAAGTGAATGGATAAAATAACAGAATATAATTCAGCTGTGAGAAAGAAGGACATTGCCATTCGTGACAAGATGGATGAAATGGAAGCATTAAGCTAAGTGAAAGTCAGACAGAGAAAGACAAATACTATCAGATATCACTTATACATGGAATCTAAAAACCCTTAACTCCTAAAAGCAGAGACTAGAATGGCAGCTACCAGGGGGTGCAGGGTGGGGGAAAGGGAGGGAAATTGGTCAAACAGTTATAAGATGAGTAAGTTCTGGGGATCTAGCAGAAAAGCAGGGCAATTATAAGTAATACTACTGAATTATGTATTTCAAAGTTGCTAAGATAGCAGATCTTAAATGTTCTCACCAAAAAAAGAAATGGTAATTATGATGTGATGGAGACGTTTGCTAATGTCATGGTGGTAGTCATTCTGCAATATACAAGTGTATCAAATCAAGACACTGGGCACCTTAAACTTATACAATGTTATATGTATGTCAATTGTGTCAATAAAGCTCAAAATAAAGATTTCTCTTTTTTTATTAAAAAAAAGGATTTTTTTTAAGGTTTATTCATTTTTCAGAGACAGAGGGTGAGTGGGGAGGAGCAGAAAGAAAGAGAGACACAGATTCCAAAGCAGGCTCCATGGTCTAAGCTGTCATCACCACAAACTGTGAGATCAATGACCTGAGCTGAAGTCGGGGGCTTAACTGACTGAGCCACCCAGACACCCCTCGAAAAAAAGATTTCCAATAAAATAAAAATGGCTCATAAGTTAGGAGTACCTTGATCGTCTGCATTAATATATTAAGGCAAGATAAATGTTTACACATCAGGTAAAAATAATACAAGGTAGCCAAAAACCTAGGTGAGCCAAAAAATGGTTATTAGTCTATAGATTCCCACATTTCCACAGAAGACTAATCTTCCCCTCTTAAATTAAGGATTTTAAAAAACGGAATCTATGAGATTACTCTTACTTCAAACAAATTTAAAAAATTTTAATTTTACCACAGAATTTACTGGAATCAGTCCCTTGAAGAATTTATGTGAAGTAACTGGTGTGCCTGAATGTTTCACATTTCAACTTATTTTAGAGGTGTCAAGACACAATCTAAGTTTAATAGGAAAAAATCTGCAGGCTTCAAACAGCGCTAAAAGAAACACAAAGAAGGAAAGTTAGAAGTTGAGGAGGACAGTTCTGTGATAAAGGCTGACAAGAGTGAGACAGGAATCTACTGGAGACCCTCTCGGGATGCAGGGCTGCCCTGTGCCGTGTTATCACTGACCTGTCACCTCGTCCCCAGCTCACAAGCAACCCTTAAGTACTCTGGGACTAAGTGGGGTTTTTAAAAGTTCTTGTGTCATATTTACTTACTCTTTCCTACGACTCTTATCAGAAGCCTGATGGACTCAAGTTCCAGAATCCACAGGCTCCAGTTACCCACCTAATTCCATAAACGAGAGGAATAATCAGAAACATAAAATGCCACCGTCATAGAAAGAAAAGAATGAGAAACAGGATTTAAAATAAGCCAGTTCATTCTATTGAAGTACAGCTGACATACAACATTGTATTAGTTTCAAGTGTGCAACATGGCGATTCAAAACTGTATACATTATGAAGTGCTCGCCATAAGTGTAGCCACCATCTGTCACCACACAAAGTTATTACAATCTTACTGACTATATTCCCTACACTCTACTTTTCATACTTGTGACTTATTTGTTTTAGTACTAGAAGTCTGTGCCTCTTAATCCCCTCCACATTTGTCACCAATCCCCGCCTCTCCGTCCCTCTGGCAACCACCAGTTTGTTCTCTGTATTTACAAGTCTGTTTCTGGTTTTTGTTTTATTTTATTTTATTTGCTTGTTTGACTTTTTAGATTCCACATAGAAGTAAAGTCATGGTATTTCACTTTCTCTGACTTGTTTTTCAGATTCCAAATGTAAGTAAAATCATGGTATTTGTCTTTCTCTGTGTGACTTATTTTACTTAACAGAATATCCACCCTCTAGGGGCAGCTGGGTAACTCAGTCAGTTGAGCATTTGACTCTTGGTTTCGGCTCAGGTCACGACCCCAGAGTCATTTGGACTGAGCCCTACATCAGGCTCAGTGTGGAACCTACTTAAGATTCTCTTTCTCTTTCTCTCTCTCTCCCTCTCCCTCTCCCCTGCTTACACTCACACACACTGCCTCTCTCTAAAGTAATAACAAAAAAAAAAAAATAAAAGAATATCCACCCTCTAGGTCCATCCATGTTGTCATGAATGGCAAGATTTCATTCATTTTTTTATTGCTGAGCAATATCCCATTGTGCATATACACCACATCTTCCTTATCCATTCATCTATAAATGGACACATAGGTTGCTTCTATACCTTAGCTATTGTAAATAATGCTACAAAAAACATTAGGGTGCCTATATCTTTTCAAACTAGTGTTTTCATTTTCTCTGGGTAAATACCCAAGAATGGACCAGTTCATTTTTAAGGGCATAGCCACAGGTAAATAGCATTAACACTGTGTCCTTGGTAACTGCAAAAAGAATAAAATAGTTTAAAAAAAAACACTTCCTTAATAAATATATAACAAATATCTAACTTTAAAATGAGTTGTATCATCAAAAGCTATTTCTTCAGGAAGATACATTACCCATAAAATACTGTACATGGTGGTTCATTTCCAGAGCTGGCCCAAAACCTATTTAACCCATAATCTACTGATGTAGTACAGTGCTGAATGAAATGTGTAAAGGCACTTACTTACAATGCTTCAAATGCATGTAGGTATTTCAGCTGGAAAGACAGGAGCTTGGCAAAATCGGACTAAAAAAAATGGACCTCAGGAGTTCCATGTAACCCCAAATGTTCACACAAGTGTATATATGGGTGATTCTCTTATGAGAGGGTCCATGACTTCTCAAAGTGGTTGTCTATACACCCACAAAAAAGGGTTTCAATAAAGAGAAAAAACTTCCATGCTATATAAAACCAAACTCTTCCCTGCATAGCCCTCAGGTAGGTTTTATGGTAGAAATGAGGCATTTTGCATTGTTATGGTCCACACGTTTGTACATAATGATAAGTTCATGGATGCAAAGCTATCAAAAACCTTCCAGAAAAACTAAGTGAAGGAAATTCTAGAAAAAAGAACATGTTCTGACATTTCATGGGGTCTGAACTGCCCACATAAGATGACACAGGAAGTTCATTTCAAGTAGAATGAGGACAGTGATGCCAAGGCCACCCACAGTAGAGGAGATTTCCACTGGTCAATAGAGCTTATCTGCAGGCTGAGAGCTGCAAACACTCCATGCGTTTGTGCTACAAGACTCTCCACTTAAAAATCTTTCCTATTCCGGGGCCTCCTGGGTGGCTCAGTCGGTTAATCGTCCAACTTCCGCTCAGGTCATGATCTCATGGTTCATGAGTTCGAGCCCCGAGTCGGGCTCTGTGCTGACAGCTCAGAGCCTGGAGCCTGCTTCAGATTCTGTGTCTTCCTCCCTCTCTGCCCCTCCCCTGCTCACACTCTGTCTCTCTCTCTCTCAAAGTAAAAACATTTAAAAATTCTTTTTTAATTAAAAAAAATCTTTCCCCATCTCAACAAATCACACTGAAAATATTTATCACACCTTGGGTACCAGTATCTTAGAAAAAAGAATCCTTTTACCTACATATAATTCAAACAAAGTAAAAGGTGTATTTAAATGACCTAAATGTGTAATGTTAAGGAGTATACCTTTTCTATTCATTTTTATCAAGAAAATCTGGATAATAACCTCTTTATTTAATTTCAAACATGACTTTCAACTTTACCTAAAAGCTTCTATAAACTGATAGAACAAAGTTCACAGATTGTGCGTTTCTTAACTGAGCAGAGTTTATTGTTTTTGGCTTTTTGTTAACATAGATTTAAACGTCATGGGCTATGAAGCTATTCTAACCAACAGTGCAATTTGAGATTCATACCTACTTAAAAGATTATTGTTTGCTTACCTCTTTATCCCAAACCATGAGTCCATAGCCAGGTCATTAAGGTACTTCCCCTCTTTTCCCACTCTCAAAACATTATCATGCTTAACACACAAGCATCTATTTTCACAACACAGTGTCACTTACCCCTCCTGCCTTCAGCAACTTTCTTCTAAACTCCTCTGTGGGGTTGTTGAAAGTTAGTTTTTCACAGCGGAGGTGATTCACTGGTGGATGGCCTTCAAGATGCAGGAATAAGTCATAATCAAAGCGGACTTTCTTAGGTTCTTCCTAGAGAGTAAAAAAATGTAAGGAAGAAAAGAGAGTTGAGTATATACAAATTTTATTTTTTTTTAAGATTATTTATTTCTGAGAGAGAGACAAAGAGAGAGACAGAGAGAGGAGAGACAGGAGAGAGGGGAGAGAGAGAGAAAGAGAGAGACAGAGACAGAGACAGAGACAGAATCCCAAGCAGGTTCCGTGCTGTCAGCGCAGAGCCCATCACCGGGCTCGAACTCACAAACTGTGAGATCATGACCTGAGCCAAAATCAAGAGTCTGATGCTTAACAGACTGAGCCACTCAGGTGCCCCGCAGATACATATTTTAAAAGCAAAGTTTTATTCTTCACAAGGAACAGAAAAGACCCAGATACCCAACAGCTATAGTGTCAAAGTGTTGGGAAAAGAAAATTATCGTGGAATTATTTACAAAGCACAACGGAAAGACCTGATGAATCACCTTCTTGCTTTCTAAGAGAAGAAACTCACCACTTTCCCTGCAATGTCTCAAGTGGCATTAACACCACCAACCAACACAGCCACCCACCTAGAAACCTAAGATAACCCTGAAGCCACTTCCTCCCCTTCCCACTCTACCCACCTACACCCATCACCGACAACTGAACTGCCATTTTCTCTCCTAAATACTTCTTGAACAAGCCCTCTAACCCATACTCTTACTCCCTGCCCAAACTACAATAAGCTCCTTTCTTTGGTAGGTCTTCCTACTTCAGGATGGCTTTCTCTTCAATTCCTCCCTCATTCAGGCCTCAAAATTATCTATATAAAACAAAAATCTAGTCATTTTTACAGCTTGATTAAAATGTCAAAAGCTTCCAATAAGCCATTAAGATAAAAATCAAAGCGCACTTGCAGGCCTCACAGGGAGCTTTCTGAACCTGAGGTTCTTTATCTCATCCCCCTCAGGCAACACATTGCTATAGGTTGTTCCAGTACTTACTGTGCTCTAGGCTAATTCTGGGTTTCACCCTTGCTTTACATTACTACCCTCATTGCCTGCCAACTCCATTTCTCCAGCTCTGTGTCACCTAGATAACTTCTCATCTTTCTCCATTCAGTATCACGTTGGGGAAACCTTCCTAGAAACTCCCTCCCAACATCCCATTGCCTCTCCTCTGCTCTCTCTCTTATCCTTGCACATCTTAGGTTGATCAACCTAATATCTCCCTTTATCCTGTGAAATCAGGATTTCCTCCTCTTGAAAGGAAGAACAATACAACTCATTTAGCACCTGTGCATAGCACAAATTCAATAAATATCTCTGAAATGAACTAGGAAGGTAGAATAAGCCTCATCTCAGAGAGAGAACATCATCATTACAATTTCATGATACTCAAGTTCTCCTCTCAAGCCATTACTTTAGTTAGCTAAACATTTAAGCCTCACTACACACCAATTCTTAAGTATCCCAGGTGAAATGAAGACTGGAGATAATAACAATAACTAATATGAACAGTAACAGTTATTTCATTCAATTCTTATAGCTCTCCTCAAGGTCAGTTCTGAGTCCTGTTTTGCAAATGAGGAAATTAAGGCACTTGGAATTTGTTGTATTACTTTACATAAAAACTCCTTTTGTGTTACAAAGAGTAACCAGCTTTGTGAAGTGTTGTAATTGTTTTCATTAGTCATTGGCTTTGCCATTTTGTTGATTTTTAATGGCTTTATTGAGAAGGAATTCACAAACCATAAAACCCACCCTTTTTTAAAAGGATACAATTTCGTGGTGTTTAGTATATTCACAGGATTTTTGGAACCATCACCACCATCTAATTTTGGGACATTTTCATCATTCCAGAAAGAAAACTCAAACTTGTTAGTAGTCATTTCCCATTCCCCCAGATCCTGCATTCCCTTGTACTACTAATCTATTTCTGCTTCTCTAGAATTGCCTATTCTGTGGAGTTGGCATTTCATACAAATATGTAAAATACATGGCCTGGTGTGTCATCTTTTGTGACAGTCCTCTTTCACTTGACATGATGCTTTCAGGGTTCAGACATGTGGTAATGTATCAGTATTTAGTTTTTTTATGGCTGAGTAACATTCCATTGTGTGGGTATACCAGTTTTTGTTTAGTCACTTATTGGTGGATTGATATGTGTATTTTCTTTACTTTGTAGCTACCGTAAACAGTGCTGGTATAAACATTTGTGTACAAGTTTTTATCCAGACGTGTATTTTCATCTCTCATGAAAGTACACCTATGGAAAAATTTCTGGGTCATATGGCACCTCCATGTTTAACATTTTTACAAACTGCCTTACTGTTTTCCAGAGTGGCTGCACCCTTTTAAAAATATGAAAAACAACATACGAGGTATTTATGGTTTTTAGTAGATAACATATTAAAATTTTACAAAAATAAAGCAATGTTTTTCTTTAAAAAAAAAAAAAAAGAACTTCTGGAATGTCTGGGTGTCTCGGTTGGTTAAGCATATAACTTCAGCTCAGGTCACGATCTCACAATTTGTGAGTTCGAGACCCACATTGGACTCTGTGCTGACAGCACAGAGCCTGGAGCCTGCTTCGGATTCTGTGTGTCCCTCTCTCTCGCCCCTCCCCACCCCAGAAATAAATAAATATTAAAAAATTAAAAAAAGAAAGAACTTCTTATATATGTAATGTGATGAAACAAAGTGAAGTGAAACCGGTTCTTTTAACTCAAAAGTCTCAGTTCCTGAAACTGTCAAAATGTAGGCATTACCTGCTATAAATTCATGGTTTCCACCTCCTCATCTAACTTCTCTAAATCAGTCTCTACTCATTCACTCAGAATCTCTACACTTCTTTCTTTCTTTCTTTTTAATGTTTATTGATTTAGTTGAGATAGACAGAGAGGAAGGGCAGAGAGAAGGAGGGAGAATCCCAAGCAGGATCCACACTCAGCATGAAGCCCGATCGATGAGGGGCTTGATCTCACAACTGTGAGATTCTGACTTGGGCCAATATCAAGAGTCAGGCACTTAACTGACTGACCCACCCAGGTGTCCCTACCTCTTCTCTCTACTACCAAGTAGGCATGAAACCTGCTCCCTTCCTCTTTTATCAGGGTACACCTCCCTCCTGGCTTTCTTCATGCTTACTGGCATTCCTTCTCAGTCTTCTTCACTTGCCTCCCTTCTTTCTTCACTGACCCTTAAACATCCTTTAACTTTGGGCAAAGTCCCCAAGGAGCCAACTGCCATTCACAGGGTGTCACTTCTACCTACATGACAGTGACTCTCCTATCTGAACTCCAGCCCAGCTTCCACTTGACTGTCCTATACGGGTGCTCCATACCCACAATCTGCCCACATCTCCACCAAGTTGCCCCACAGCAACTTCAAAGTCGGATTATCTTAAACTGGAGTTCTATTCATCTGTCCTTTCTCTCATACTCTATTTTAGCAAACAGAAACCCTAGTAAAAAATATAGAAAAACCATCACCAGCTCTTCCTTCTCCCTCGCTCAGCACACTCAAATAGTCCCCAAGTTCTACTCCATATACTCCCTTAGGAACTCTCCAATCCAACCCTTTTGTCCAGTTCCCATACCCTCACCTGAGCTTAGAACTTGCTCATCCCTCCCCTGGCCACCTCCTTGTTTTAGAAGTCACCCCATTCTACTTCCTATAGTGGCAAGACCGTGATGGGCCCCATACAAAAATGAGATTACATCTTTTCATTGCTATAAATGCCTTTTATGACTCACCATTTTCCACAGGATAAAACCACTCTTCCTTGGAATAACCATCTTAGACCTTTATTACCTTTCCTGCATTTCCTTTGTTCTCCTAAGACACCCTGTGTTTCCACAATTTTGGAGCACTTGTGGCGGTTCCCAGGACTCGACATTACCTCATTCACTTTGCCTTTCACATCTAGTGCTCCCCACACTTATGCAGTCTTCCCTCCCAGCACCTGTCCCCTCCATGCTTGCTTATTAATGCACTCGTTATTCAAAACCCAGATAAGCATGAAATCTACTGTAAAGTCTTCCTAATACTTCCAATCTAATCTCTATTAGATATCCCTCTTAGAGCATTCCTTTATTAATGTAATTATCACATTGAATTATGATCCGTTTTTTACTTACCTGCCTTTCCTCTCAATTGTAAAACAGTCAACACAACCTTAGAATTTAATTAAAAACATAAGAAGGGCTGTTTTCTGCCTCATAACCGCGACTGTAGATTTGTAAAGTCTTCTGGGAAAGCAATTCGGCAGGAGCTATCAACATGTTAACCCAGTAATTCTACTTCTAAGACTCTCTTCCCACAGAAATATCCAAATATGTGCACAAAGATACATATAAAATGTTCATAGTAGCACTGTTTGTAATGGCAAAAAAAACAAACAAACAAACAAACCCTGAAATGATCTTCAAGTGAGTACGTCATATCATAGAATACCACTCAGGTGTTTAAAAACAGATTTGGGGGTGCCTGGCTGGCTCAGCTGGTTGAGCATCCAACTTCGGCTCAAGTCATGATCTCATGGCTTGTGGGTTCAGTCCCTGCATCGGGCTCTGTGCTGACAGCTCAGAGCCTGGAGCCTGCTTCAGATTCTGCGCTCCCTCTCTTTCTGCCCCTCCCCCACTCGTGCTGTTTCTATCTTCCTCTCTCTCCTTCAAAAACAAAATAGACATTAAAAAATTTTTTTAAGTGCAGATTTAGAAAGGCATAGTGCAAAGTGAATTAAAGGTAAGTCATAGAAAATATTAACATATGATATATTATGCCCTGCCAATCTCTATTTGACATAAATTTTATCTATGCAAATTCATGGGGGAAATCAGGAAAGACTATACCAAATAGTTAACAATGATTAAAAGGACTCAAAAAGTATACTTCCGCATACTTTTTTAAAGAGAAAAATATATTGATGAATATAAATCATTACCAGCAGAAAAAGAATGAATAACAATAACACTTCATAGTACAATACTTTCATACCAAAAAAAAATCACTTTTCAATAAACTAAGGGTAATGACCACAGAAAGTGACTT